AAGATGAAATGTAGCCTAAATAAAGCAGAGGGACAAAGTAAAAATAAAAACAAGCTGAGGGATGTCTCTGCTTGAGCATCGCTGACATAAGGTCAGAAGAATTTGCAGGATGAAGCACTACTTAAATCAAAGCCAGTCTAAGTGACATCCCCATGCCTTTATTATTTTTTACAAGCAATTTTTAAACACTTAATTTTACAATCACTCTCTGAAGAGTTGAGATTATGACTATAGACATGTAATATTCATGGCTAGATCTTCAGGGCTTGGGGCCATTGTATTCATTGAATCTTAATGTAGTTCTCAGTCATTCACTATTTTGAGAATCCAATTGATTATCTCTTTATTTCCAGTGCTACAGGATAGAATATCCATGGCTTATTTAGTGGAGCTTGGGCTATAATTTTCTAAAATTATTTCTGGCCTCAAGAGAAGATATATGTTAAGCTTTGCATATAACTTCACATTGTCCCACAGAGGATTTGTACATTTATCTTTCAGATCATTAACTTTTTCAGAACTGCCATGTGAATTTATCTGCACTACTCAATACTTCAGCTTCCCACTAGTAAAATGAGTGTGAAAACAGCACTTTGTGAGGTTTCTGTGAAGATTAGGTAGATTATGATATGCAGAGAGCTTAGCACACTTAATAAATTTCAGTGTTGCTTTCTCTTTTTATTCTTCTCCATATTGTCAGCGATCTCATTTGTTTTGTTTTGTCTTTGGTTCCCTGGGGACTTCTCAGAGACAAATGAATGAATTGTCTGTCTTTGCATTGTCTGCTTTCCCTAATTGTAAACAGGACTTTGGCACAGGCTCTTAGGGAAGACTGCTAGATATCACTACAGTGTTCAAATAAGAGCAGAAGCTTCTTGCTACTGTAAAAAGATATTAGAATAAACAAGAGACTTATGTCCCAGGCTTTAATTAACTTTATTTTTTAATTGCGATATCATTGATTAACAGTGTTGTACAGACCTCTGCTATCCAGCACAGTGACTCAGTTACACCCATATAGACATTCTTTTATCTGAGGCTTTAATATACATGCATATGCTTTTAAAATACAAAGAGAGAAAGAGAAAGGCTTGAGCGCGTTTTTCAATAAATTTTCCCAATGTAGAAAATTAATCATAGCCTCAAAATATTGACTGAACACTAAACTGAATACTAAATACTAATCGGAATTCCCTGTACATCCTGTATGTCTCGGCTCATATCCCTAAAGTCTGAAGTACCCCCTATCCTCTTGTACTTCACCTTATTTATTTTTATAATAATTAATACTTATGTATTCATGAGACTTTGTTTCTATGAATGCTAAGAGCTAAAGTATGGATCAGAACAGAAGCCTTAGAATTTAGTTCCAGCTCTACCATTTGCTATCTGTTTAACCTCAATTAAATTGTTTACTCTCCCTGTTAAAGACTCAAAAATATATATGAGAATAATGTACTGAACTGTGAAACTCTAGTGGAATATAAAGCAGTAGGATTATCATTATCAGTAATAATATTAAACATTAAGAGAGTGACAGAAATTCTCTAAGGTTGTGTCTTCTAACTCTGATAAATGGTAGAAGAGACTTGTGTGAAGTAAAGAGGACCAAACACAAGTGGAGCAAGCTCAAGAGACTCAAATCAGGGTTCTCTTCATTCTACAGAATGCATGATTGCAAGATAGTGTTGCATGTCTAATGACTTGAAATATAAAGTAAATATATCTTGAAATATAAAAGTAAAATATTTTGAAATATAAAGTAATACGGCTGTGGTGAGGATTAAATGACATAATATATACAAAGTTCATGGTGTAGGGTCTGACATCCAGGAAACACTCAATAGGTGTTAACATTAGGTCTGCCATTTAATCACTGCACGTTTTTGTACCAATCACTTACCCTAAGGTTTTTTCTTCCTTTTAAACATAATTGTCATTTCATAGAATTTTTGTGAGAACTTTGTGAATTACAGCACTTAGCATAGCACTTGATGCCTATCCCTTCTCCAGCGGATCTTCCCAACCCAGGAGTTGAGCCAGGGTCTCCTGCATTGCAATCGAATTCTTTACCAGCTGAGCTACTAGGGAAGCCATTGATATCTAGAGTATTTATTAAATGGTGGCTGCTATCATAATTACCATTATTAATAGCAGCAGTAGTCATAGGACTAAGTCTCCCCAGGTGGCTCAGTGGTAAAGAAACCGCCTGCCAGTGCAGGAGATGAAGGAGACTCAGGTTTGACCCCCAGGTCAGGAAGATTCCCCTGGAGTAGGAAATGGCAACCCACTCCAGTATTCTTGCCTGAAAACTTCCATGGACAGAAGAGCCTGGCAAGCTGCAGTCCACGAGGTTACAAAGAGTCAGACACAACTGAATACACACACACAGTCATAGTAGTAGCAGCAGCATTAGCTTTCTGCCTATTGAAGTCAATCTGGAAAGGTAAGCAGAGCCTTCCTATCAGTGTATAGTAAGCATATTTAAAGAGTTTGAGTTTATATCTTGAAGACCACTGTAGGATTTTTTTTTTTAATCAAAATAGAACATAATCAGATATGTGCTTTAGAGAATGGATTGAAGTAAGACAAGAGCAAGAAACAGACCTGGTAGAAAGTCATTGCAATATTACATTCAAGAAATGATGTTTGTTGGTAGTAGGGTTAGTGGCAGTGGAGACAGAAATCAACAGATGTGAGAGAGATTTAGGAATTCGGTTAATAGAACCTAGTGATTGATTATATGGGTAGACTGAAGCTGCAGCTGGAAAGAAGGATGTTGACTTTGCTGTAAAACATAATAACAGGGATCAGGGATTTCTCTCTTGACGTCTAAATCCTTAACTAAAGCCTTTTTTGGAACCATATTGGAAAAAACTGGATGTGATTCTCCTTCAACTGTATCTTAATTAAATGTTTTCTAAGTTGGAGGAAATGCACTCTGTTACTACATTCATTATGATGAAGAGTGTTCGTGGGTCCTTGATTTACACATGAAAAATTTGTGTTATTTTTCTTTCTTTGTATGACATGTGACCAGTTCAAGATTGCACCGACAAAGCCGCTCAAGGGAGTGTACATTGTTCCTTAAGACATTCCCATCCCATGGCTAGTAGGTCTTGATTTACCTAAAAATAAATCAAACCATCATCTTTGCAAATATATTTATATTTTGAAGATATTTCCAATATCTTTACTGAGTGCATTCTCAAAGTCCTCTGTTGGACCCTGAGGATGGGGTGAGGTTGTATATGAAGATGAAGCAGAGATGAAATGATTTTAAGCTTATAGTCTGATAGGAATGAGAGGACATATGAATTCATAATCATAAAATAGGTGGATGATGACTAAGGGCACAAGAATTTATATATTCTTACATTCTCTTTAATGTTACTTATTCTTATGTTCACATGTATATCTCCTTCATTAAAACCATGAGCTCCTTGAGATACAGACTGACTTATTCATTCTTAGGTCTCCCTTCCCCCTACAGTCTACACTACACTACAGTCTAGTGTAGTTACTGTAGGAAATGTGGTAGTAGTTTTTGAATGAAAGATGTAGAAACAGGGCTTCAAATTATTGTGGGTAAGGGTCTCATTTCACTGACAAGTACAGATTTTAAGGAAAGGCTCAGATGTTCAGGGGAGAAAGCTGGAGGACTTCAGCCAGCCACCACGTTGAGTAGGTAACTCCTGATCAGTAACTCTAGAGCACTCCAATTAACTTCAAAAAGAGGTAAATAATAGACTTTGTGACAGGAAGAAGGATCTTTTCCTCAGTGTGTGAGAGCTTACTGGTCCAACTAAAGAATCATCAAATTCATTATGTTTAACTGATGGACAAGGAAGAATCCAGATATTCTCTGTGCAATAAATCTTTACCTGTGATCATGTATTCTTAGCTACCGCATACTAAGAGTACATTTGGCCTGCTATATCTCCGGGTTCCACATTCACAGATTCAACCAACCCACGATCAAAAATATTTGGGAAAAAAATTCCAGAAGGTTCCAAAAAGTAAAATGTGAATTTGCCGCACTGGCACCTATTTGCATAGTGTTTATATTGTATTAGGTATCATAAGTAATCTAAAGATGATCTAAAGTTCACAGGAGGATGTGTGTAGGTTATATGCAAATACTGTGTCATTTTATACAAGGGACTTGATCAAACAGGTTTTGGTGTCCTCCAGGGTCCTGAAATTGTCCCCTGATGATACTGAGGGCCAACTGTGCACATCTAAATCAATCCTTAGCTTGCTTCACAAAGGTAATTTCTCATGGCCCTCTAGTACCCATAAGAATTTTTTTCAGAAGACTACACCTCAGTTCAGTTCAGTCACTCAGTCGTGTCTGACTCTTTGCGACCCCATGGACCTCAGCACACCAGGCCTCCCTGTCCATCACCAACCCAAAACTCATGTGATTGAGTCAGTGATACCATCCAACCATTTCATCCTCTGTCGTCCCCTTCTCCTCCCACCTTCAGTCTTTCCCAGCATCAGGGTCTTTTCCAGTGAGTCAGTTCTTCGCATCAGGTGACCAGAATATTGGAATTTCAGCTTCAACATCATTCCTTTCATTGAGTACTCAGGACTGATCTCCTTTAGGATGGACTGGTTGGATCTCCTTGCAGTCCAAGGGACTCTCAAAAGAAACCAAGAATTCCACATTCCAAAAATCAGCAGCATCTTACCACAAACTGAATATGGCCAATGATAGGGAGGAGTCAAAAGAAATAAACCTACATGCAATAACAGAAGATAAGCTGCCAAGAAAAGCAAACTCTGGATTTAGCTCTTAAAGATCTTAGGGCAAAAGATAGAAGTTCTTCTATTTAAAAACTTAAGGAATTTTCATATCTGTTAAGACTTTGCTTAAGATTTAGTACATGTGTATGTTGTTTACTCAAATACACATTTAGTTGGAGAAAGATTTCCCTCAAATTGTTCTCTATCTTTAGACTATCATTATTCATTAGTATTTGTTTTCTTTACAGTGCACTCCCAAATGTGGTCCAGGATTCAAGCATCGGATTGTTCTGTGCAAGAGCAGTGACCTTTCTAAAACATTCCCAGCAACACAGTGCTCCGAGGAGAGCAAACCCCCTGTCCGCATCCGCTGCAGTCTGGGCCGCTGCCCTCCTCCTCGCTGGGTGACAGGAGACTGGGGCCAGGTAAGGCAGTTGGACTGTGGGCCCCTGCTGAAGCAGCAGCTTGAGACCCTTGAGGTTCCCGACTGGGTCATGACAGGGGCTCGCGACATGAGTGACAGACCTACAGGTGTGAGACGCGGATGTGAAACAGTGCACAGGCAGCTGCATCATGTAGACACCCTGAGCCATGCTTCTCCCACACCTACACACTTCCCACGCTCACCCACTTCTCGGATTCTAGCGTTTTAACTTAAAGAGAAAGAATCTAGATGACCAGAGGTTTGACCAGAACTTTGGCTTCTACTGCCAACTCTCTCAACTGTTTCAAGAACAAATCAGTTAACACCATTTTCTTAAATTTCACACTAAGAAAATGAATCCTCTTAACCTCACAGAAAGCATGTAAGGATCCTAATTAGGTTTTGTCTTTTTTTTTATGGCTGCGCTGGGTCTTCATTGCTGTGAGCAGCCTTTCTTCAGTCAGGGTGAGCAGGCACTGCTCTTCATTTTGGCGCAAGGGCTTCTCACTGCTGTGGCGTCTCTCGTCGCAGCATAGGCTCCAGCGCGAAGGCTTCGGCACTTGTAGCACCTGGGCTCAGTAGTTGCGGCACACGAGCTTAGCTGCTCCGCAGCATGTGGGATCTTCCTGAAGCAGGAGTCGAACCCGTGTCCGCTGCACTGGCAGGCGGAGTCCTGTCCACTGTGCTGCCAGGACGTCCCTGTGGTTTTATATTGATTGGATCCATTTATATTTTCTCTTCCAATTCCTATTGTTTTCCTTCTCAGTTTTAAATTATGTTATCTTGCTGAAGGTCCTCTTAAATCCTTTGAAAGCAAATTGGTATATTTGGATAGAAGGCAAATTAAGTATTGTTCTTTTGAAAGTCGAAAAGGAAGCCTATTTAGGTTATATTAAACAATAATGCTCCAGAAAATAAATTTCTAGTGACTCAATGCCCTTTTCCTGTGGTTTTACAATTAACCTTGTAGCTAGTTATTTTCTAATATCTGAGAGCCCAAGTAAATTGTAGTGGCATATAACTACACCAGCATGATTTTGTCTGTGCTCTGGGCCTGCCATTACTTAGTAGGAATGGCATTTCATAGAATTACCAAAACTGTGGCCAAAATGCATTATTGCCAGAGTGTAGCTGTATCTACAGACTTCTCTGGGGAATTGGCAAAGATTTTCAGTCTCCATTAAGGCAAATAAATATTCTTGGTCTATGCTCAGCCCTGTGGGGAAATAAAAGAAGTGTGACCATAAAATAATTAACATTTGCATTTGTCTAACAAATAATAATGTTCTTTCATATAATGATATTTAGTTTAATTTACAAAGTGCTCAAGTGGAATATACATCAGAAGCTTAAGTAAGAATCGAATGCAGTTAAGTAATTATCTGTAGACGTGTGATAGTTTCACAATTTATAATTGATATTATGCTATTAAAGAATCAGAGCAGACATACTCTTATGATTTTTATTTAAATCAGGTAGGAATTTCCTTTCTTATATATTCTTTGTTGCAATGTACTGGTATATAGAGGTCATGTAGAAGTTTTTGCATGTTAATAATTTCACCAAATTTCCCTGTTTGAGTTTATTCTTTTAAATGTTGTCAAGTCCTTTTCTTCTCCTCTATACTTTCAATTCAGTTTCCTAAAATTGAAATTAACCAGTGAAAATACCTTTCAAAGATGCTTTATTACATCTTTATGGTGCATTTACTCATCATTCTGTATTTAGAAAGTTAAAAATAAAAGTATCTGTGAATATCATGGCAAGTCCTATAAGTGCCTTGAGAGTTTTTGCAAATTAGTCCAACAGGGCCTCGGTCTATTTATCTTGTAAATATCACCATCACCTATCTTTGCACAAGTAGTTCCTCATCCCCTTGATCCCAAATCTCACAGGCTTTCCAGTATTCTGAGTGGCAGGCCCCGGAAATAGACCACAGCTTCACTCTTCAGCCAGGACAGCTGATCAGGCCCAGCTGAGTCCTAAGCCCTCAGAGAGCACTTCAGTTCTAAAGTGAATGATCCCAAGCAGGTGGAAAAGGGAAGGGAGACATGCTAACTGGCTAGCTACAGGCCTCTTCTCAAATTTGTCTCAGATTTGTATACCTTACAAAACAAGGTACTTATTTAATGTCTCTTTTCTTTTTTTTTTTCAAACTGGCCTCATCACCAGGGCCCACAATGGTCACTGCTGTTAGACTGAACTAATATTTTAATCAAATTCAGAGCACTCCAGTAGACCACTGATTTGTCTTCCCACAAGTCTTTAATAAATAGGGAGCAATAGTGATGTCCCAGCCCTAGAGTCTCTTGACTATTTTACTTCATCACAGGTATTTTCTCTTTATACTCTTGTTTAACTTCACTGTCACTGCTTGACACTGTTGGAATAACAGCCCAAGAAATCTCCATCTGTTGTCTTCTGGAAACTATATTACTTCTATATTCTAGGGTAATGACACGATCCTTGAGTTTCCAAACCAATGCAATGTAATAGAATGATTTAATCATATACCTCTCCAAGATGAACTACACATGAGCTTGAAAAGCTAATATATATAGTATTTGAAATGACATAGTATCTATTTTCTCTCCTGGAAATTGTTGAGAACAGTATTTTGTCTCTTCTTGTCTTTTGGTTTAGTGTTCTGCTCAGTGTGGCCTTGGACAGCAAATGCGGACTGTGCAATGCCTTTCCTACACTGGACAGGCATCAGGTGACTGTCCAGAAACTAGTAGACCTCCATCAATGCAGCAGTGTGAAAGTAAATGTGACAGTACCCCCATCTCCAGTACTGAAGGTAAGTTCCCCAGTACCTCCAGTACAGATGGTAAGGGGACTGTAATCTCTAGTGATTTAACTAGAGATTAACTAGTGATTTAACTAGTGTATTGACTTACAGGGTTCAAAGAGCCCCATAAAACCACTGTTGTATTGTGTTCGCATAGAGTATTTGTGAAAGCTATACATGTACTGGATATATAATCAGGAAACCTAAGTTGTTTATTTTTTCCCCTGACTCTTCCACTAACTGTATGACCTTATTAAGTCACTTAACATTTCTGGAGCTAAGTTTACTTATCTATACAATGAAAGACTGGAATGGAGATAATCTCTAAGGTTCTGTCCAACCTAGCATTTTATGTTTGACTTGTGCTAGAAAGATAGAAATGATTTCTAATGAACCAAGCTTGAAAGTAAAAACTTCTGTTTCTTTTTGGCTATAACAATGGATTTATGCTATTGGAAAGATTAAATTCATGCTTGTTATACATATAATGAAAGCATATGTTTGGAACATCTTAGGTTTTAAATGCTAATTTTCTTATTGAAGAAAAATAGAAGAATGTTATTGTATAGCTGTTTATATAGGAGGACAATGTCTTCAGACTCGGAAAATTTTCTGTTACATATGGGGTAGTCTCTGTATTAACAGCAGATACCCATCTAAATTCTGAACTTTCTTATATCATATTTAAATGAATGTACTTTGTTTCCTCAATCAAGCATCCATTTGAAATCTCCTGAATGCTACTATGTGCAAGACACTATCACAGAAACTGGAGAGTCCAGAGACAACTGTGGCATAGTCAGGAAGTTCAGACTGCCTTCTCATATATAAACGTCTGAAGCCATGAATTTTAATTATGTAAGACACCCAGCTATAGGGCTCTACTTAAAAAAAAAAAAAAGATAAAGGGCTATGCTGACTATAATTTGTTAATATTTATCAAATGAAAATGATACAGTAACTAATCTATTAAAAAGAGATTGTACCTTTTGATAAAAATCTATCCAGTTTGAGGGATAATTTTTAATCTTATTTTTCAATATTTCCATGAGGAATTTCATTTTAGGAAGAGCAAGCCTCTTGCATGACAAGATGCAGAAAACTTGCATATTTGCAAGTCACCCGTTTCTTATATCTGAACAATATGAAAAGTGAAAGTGTTAGTCGTTCAGTCATGTCTTGACTCTTTGTGACCTCTTGGACTGTAGCCCTCCAGGCTCCTCTGTCCATGGAATTATCTAGGCAAGGATACCGGAGTGGGGTGCCATTTCCTTCTCCAAGGGATCTTCCCAACCCAGGGATCAAACCCGGGTCTTCTGCACTGCAGGCAGATTCTTTACCATCTGCGCCACTAGGAAACTCCCTAGTGGCTCAATACAGTATACTTACTATATAGTTTACTGTTTTGAAGAAGTATAGCTTTACCCTACATTAATTCAAAATCACAATTTTAATTTGCAGAATTTCTGGCTGTAATACCATCTCCTTTTTTCCCTTTGGTAAGGGATATTTTATAAATCTAGCTTTCCTTCTCTTGAGAACGGCTCAAAAATCTATGACAAACAGAAGTACTTTTCATAGCAAAAAACAAGTCTTCATCTATTGTAAATTATTGGCTATCAATCAGTTCATGTGGGTTTGGGAGTCTGTTTTTCAGAGTTGAAAGATAAAATATTAAGGTGGGAAAGAGGATATAACTATCATAGTAAAGTATGTTGGGTATTATTTTAGGCCCTTTATATTTATTATCCATTATATATATATATATCTCATGTACATAAATATCTATGTGTATTATATAATCATGATAACAACCTTTTGTGAGTTGGCATTACTGATGAGGAAACTAAGGCACAGAGAGAGTGACTAACCCACATTACAAGAGGAGGATGTAGAAGAACCAGGATTTGAACATAGATTTGGAAGAGCCCTACCTAGGGCATATCATTTTCAGTTACATTTATGTGCTGTTTGTAATTTACTCTTAAAATCAATAATTTTAACATGAAAACAGAGCTTCTGATTGTGAAGTACAGAGACTTCTGGCATGACTGTCAACGGATTAAGGCTTAATAATTGTTGAAAGACCTGGCTTTTTGACATGCCCACAATAATGTGTGTTGAAATTATATTTATAACTTTATTTTAGGCCATTTTAGTAATTTCTCCAAACAGTTCTCTACAGTGGATAATTATCGTACATAAACTTTGCAGCTGAAGATGTAAGGCTGTTTTTATAGTGAGCAGAATATCTTTTGCAACTGTACTTATTTCTGCCTTAAAAGATCCTCTTAAAATGGATAGGTTTAATCTGATATTTCTTGGATTATTTGGAAAAATACTTCATAGTTATTTCTGTCTGGCCAAATCACCTTTTGATCACTGTAATCTGAAGTATGCAGTTAGGACAATATTTTTAGCCTTCTCAGTAAAGAAGGAAACTTTTAGGAAATTATTAATCCTGCAAAGTATGACTAATCTTAGAATTGTTATTCCCTAAAGCTGTTGACTCATTTAAGACAGGATAAAATTAGAATTAAAGTAGAAATAATATAGCTGTTGTAACTTGTTTTGTGTTCTCCTTAGCGTCCCAATAGCATATATATTGAGTATATTAAAATGTCTGAAACTATCTGTTCATTCCATCAGAAGCTACTTATTGAATGCTTGCTGTGGCCAGCCTCTGCCATTTATTATGGCAGTTCAAATATGCTTGTAAGCTCATAGTGTTACAGGGAAGATACTTCTTTTTTTTTTTTAAAAAAAAAAGCAAGATGGAATGTGTTATGTGGAACCATTTACACAAATGCTAAGAGTGCTCACTGATGACTCTAATGTTTGGATCAAGGCAAGCTTCATAGACTAAGTGGTCTGTAAGCCAGTTGTAATCTGTAGTTGGAAAAATACAGATGAAACAGTTGATTTAAGTCATAACTTGTCATCCATAGAGATATGAAATGCACAGATAATATGGATTTCAAAAGAGAAAAGGCTCTTACATGAAAGTAATGTAAGAGTGACCTGATACGGTTTCTGGAAATCAGATCAAGGAGAGAGGAAGTTGCTCTTACAAAGGGGAAACTGGGAGGAAGGTCCAGTTGTGGGGGAAGGTTACGCAGGTCAAGTTCTGGTTATCGCAGGAGGTGAAAGAGGACTGCTTTTTTCTACCAGAGTCAGGTTCCCTTGTTTCTTAGAAAAGGGGCTAGTGAGAAGTCAGTCCATCTCTACTCCAAGCAGGACAGAGTAGGACTGAGGAAGATCTCTTGGGAACTAAAAGACCATCTTTCAGTGGGATCTCTATGGGTAACATGAGCCACTAATAAAATCTTGATTATTGTTTCAACTACTGAAGTTTAGGAGATGGTTCCCCTCCTGATATCTTATTTTAAAATAATAAAAACTTTCAAACATACAGCAAAGTTGAAAGAAGTTTCTAATGAATATCCACCATCTAGATTCTAACTGAACTTGCCTTATCACATAGAAATATATCTGTCCATTTGTCAAGCGATGGTGTTTAAATAATGTGCTTTCCAGTCATCCAACCAATAAATTCATTTAACTTGCAAACATGCCTACCATGTGCCAGCCACTGAGGCTACAAAAGATTCCTGCCCTCAAAGGAAGCACAGTTTAGTAAGGGTGACAACATGCAAGCAAGTAGTTTTCACCCTATGACCAGTACTGTAATGGGGTAGACAGAAGCTCCCAGGTGTACACAGAGGAAGGGGGTATCAGCATAAGCATCCCTGGGCAGGGCACTGGAAGGCGAAACAGTTGGCCGAGAAGATGTTGAGATGCTGGGCATTCCTGGCAGAAGGTGAGTGTGTGCAGTCACAGAGCAGTGGAGTCAAACATAGTTCAGTATGGCTGCAGACGGTGGCAGATGAGCAGGCAGTGGAGATGAGGCTACAAAGAGACAGGGACTTGGTTTGAGGGGTTCCTGTATGCAGTGGAAGGAAGGTAAGACTCTATCTACCAGTTCTGGGAACAAGTGAAGGAAATTGGGGAGTGATAGACTGGCAGGTGTATAAAGGGGCAGAGGGAAGATAGCCTTGTGTGGGAGAAGCGTTACAAAGTTGTGCCAAGAGTCCAGGCTAGAGATGATGAAGGCTTGAACTCAAGCAGATATGGTAAGGATCAAAAAGAGGGCAATGGTGACAATCTAGAAGGCTGGAATGCTGAGGGAGATGGGAGGCAGGTTCAGGAGGGATGGGACATGGGTCTACCAATGGCTGATTCTTGTTGATGTATGAAAGAAAACCACAAAATTCTGTAAAGCAATATCATTCAATTTAAAAAGGTGGCAAAAAAGAGGGTAATGAATTGAAAAAAAAAAAAAAAGGACAAAATAGAAAGGAGAAGAAAAAGACCCTGATGAACATTTGGACATAGGAATGAGAATATGTTGTGGAAGTATTATATATGACTCTCAAGTGTCAGATTTAGGGAACTGGATACTATTAATCATGGTATGGAATTTAGGCATCTATATGGAAATTAAGCGCATTAGTCCCCCAAAGCCATAATAAAATAATGGAATTTGAATAAAGTTTTTAAAAATAAAAATAAACAATGGAGAGAGATTGAAGAAATGGAGGAAGGTTAAGACAACAAAGGGTAGTAAGAGAAAGAGAATCAGAAGTGGAGCATCAAAAAATTAAATGGTGAGAGGGAGCTAGGAGGAAGAAGAAGGAAGATACAATTTGCCACGTTTAACATCTGCTTTAGCTTTTTATTCCTAAAAACCTTCGGCTAAGAGTAAAGGCATTATAGGCCTGATTTTGACAGACTGCCACTGATGAGGGTAACACTACATTGTTGCTAAGAGTGAATTATAGACACACTGGGTATCACTGCATTTGAAATACTACTCAGAGTACTTTTTTAAAGTTTGTCTGGCAGCTGAGAATAGCCTCCTCAAGCTCACCTGAAATTCTATCCCAAATGCCACTTTATTCATCTTTATGCGGTTTCAGATTCCCTTGTAGTTTATGTGGTGAGTCTTT